TTAACTATTGCGAAAATTGAAAAATGGTAGAAGACGTTCCGTCTCAGTTTAATCCGCTCTACCTGTCCATGATATTTGTCAGGAGAGTTGTGGGACACCTTGTATATAGTGGTGTGTGTGTATGTGCACGCGCGCGCGCGCGCGCGAGTGTGTGTACCTATTTCGAATTGCCAGGGACAAGTTGTAAATGCTAAATAGTAAAATAGAATAGAACAGAACAATTTATTTATTTCAGTTTACATTTTTGTTACTAAGAAATATACACTGAGAGAAAGGATTTTGTTAATTTAGCAAGCCACCAGTATCCCCTACAGCACAAAAGTTGCAACAACAATGCTGCAACATTGCAACAGTATTGCACGTTGCAGCAATATTGCAGCGTTATTGCAGCAATATTGCTGCAAATTCTGTACTGTATGGGATCTTTAACCAGTGATCGGTAAATATGTAACAACAAATTATGTTGTTGTGATTGCTGCTAGTTTGCTATACTAATCAATTATTAGTAACAGAAACAAACTATATAGAATCTAACCTATCTCTTGGATAGACTTTAGCTAGTTTACATAGAATTCGTAGATGATCGTGGAGTCTTAAGTTGTAGGAAACCGACCAAGCACAGTCAAATATAGGGAGAATACTTGACTAGGATTAATCAATTTCTTACGATTTGAGATCCTGCAACCGTCTACGACTTTTATATATACAATGAGCCTCTTATCTGCTAGCGATACTATTGATTATTTGTTACATTGACGAATTAATTTGCAATCATAACAAATCGATTGTTTTTTTAACAAATATCACATTTGCTTTCCCTTGATTTGTTCCTATAACAAAATCTTTTCTCTCAGTGTAGTATAAAGTTTCCATATCTTTTGCATTTGTAAACAGTATTAACAGTTTAGGTGTATAATAATTTATTCCAAATATGATTTAAACTTAACAAGTATTCTAAAATTTTAATGAGAATGTAATTTATTAGACTTTGATAAAAATTATTCCTGCAATTGCACACACATTATTAGTTTAATTTAAATTTAATTTGTAGTGGTTGCGTATAAAACTTTTTTCTTTTATTTTGCATATAATAAAATTTATATGAAATATATACATATAGTTATTTGATATATATATATATATATAT